TGTGAGCAAGAATGAAAAGCTTGAGCTTACATTAAAGTTCTCCTTGATTCTGGCATTCTTCACTGATTTTGGTATGATTGCAATGTTGCGATCCATAGCGTAACGCAAAAGAATCTTCAATCACGGAATCATTGAAATTAATTAAGAGGAAGGCACCTAGTTTTTTTTTGTCGAGACAAATTTCCAAAAATTTTCAAAAAGGTTCAAGAATTGCGTTTCCTCTGTCCTCCAAAGACTGCATATACAGCAGATTTCTTAGATTTTACCACTTACTTGTTGTTCTGTGACAAAATTTCCTTTTGACGCAAGCACAAAGGCTGGAAAAGAAAGAAAAACATAGAGCATCAAGTTCCGCTTGGGGAAGTTTCACATGAGCCAAACACAACTAATATGGGCAAAAACGCTAAGCCGTTGGTTCATTGGCTTCGACATCTCCACCCACGCAGAATTTCTATGATGGTGTGATAAAGTTTTTTGACATTTTGATAGTTTTTGAAGCTATTAGCGCAGATATGAGAACGCTAAGGTCCATTAAGAATGAAAACAAAATCCCTGAATGGATGAAGAAATCAGTTGAAATTTGGAATTTGAATGAATGACTGATCAATTGATTTGAGATTTTAAATTCTGAAAGCTTTCGCAGGATCGTGGGGAAGTTCATCAGAGCTCGCTCCGAATGCATCTACAAGTGTATTTTCTTGAAAATTTGAAGTTGTGCTTGTTTATTTTTGACTGTAGATATTGAAATTTTTTTTGATACTGTTTGTTACTGGGCTGATGTATGTACCACCTTTTCTTACACCAAGGTTATGTGAAATTTGTCAAGTTATACCTACCTGAGCCGGAGTTTTCTTATACTTAGCAGCCAACTTTTTCACTTTTGCGTCATCCATATCACTTGGTGCTGGAGCCCATTCCATCCTCCTAATCATGTTCATTCTTTTCTGGCTTCAAAAGATGAGGATCGCTTACGCTCCGCTTTTGAAAAAAGCCGAACGTCCCGGTGAACCCATGGTTGCATAGGAAGTTACAGCTATGTTGTGTTTCTTACAAACTTCTTGGAATTCGTGTTGAGGCCAGTATAAGTGCAGTTCCACCTAAATAGTTCCTGGTTACTTCTTTCTGTTTTTATTCTATTTTTTTATGAAGGCGAAAAGAGTCAGGAAGTATGTTCGTTAGTTTTCTAATCATATAAATTTCATAATTATGTGAAATTCTATTTTACAATACCGCCTTGATTTCGAGAGAAAAGAGACAAATTAAGTTGTCGGACTTTCTTGAAAGTGAATAATAAACAGAATGAGGATTTACACCTAGCTCGACGAGAATTTCGAAGGATTGCGCTGAGAGATACGGTAAGTATACGATAGGTAGAAGGTTATGTAAACGCTAAGAGGTCGGTTGCGCATGGCAGCAAGAGGATTACATTTATCTTTCTCCGTAGCCGGTGACTTCAAAGAAAGATTCTTCTAATGGACTGCGCTGACATACAAGGAATAAAGACTTGATGGTAGGAATACGGTAGGATTACGGTACGTACGGTGGAGATAAATAGCCCTTCACAACAAGAGATTTGCACCGAGTTACCCCGCATCACTAGTTTTGTTCCATAAAAATGAAAATGACAGAGCTGACTTCTTCATATAAAAGAATGATGTTAGTGCTTGAGTACATATTTGGATGCATTTGTTCGTTTATGAGCCTCATATCAAAGTTTACAGTTTTTGAAAAGAACCCTTACCTGCGCGACATGGATGGGTACTTCAGCTACCTTCATGATGCGCTCGATCTGCTCTCCGCTGCAGTTAGAAACACCAATGGCCTTAGTCAATTTTTTCTTGTAAACCCCCTCAAGGCCTTTCCACACATCTGTGACGCTTACGGAGCGATTTTGTGCTGTCATGTCATGCTGGAAAAAAATGATTTTTTTCATCATTTCGTTGAGATTCTAAGTAGAGGAAAGTTTGATTTTGTTATGGTAGTTTTTGCGTGCTAAATGGAAATGTAGTAAAGAAGGGCTGCTCACTGAAGTGTGCACCTGAACATTATGTGCTCGGAGTTGCAAAACTGCCGTCATGTTGCGGACCTGTGCTGCACATGGTGCAGCACGCAGTTCTACAGTGTGCGAATTTGCTATACGAAACATATTGAATTGTAAACCACGACCTTTGTTCTTTTATTCGTGATGTAAGAGTTTCCGCTGAGAGAGCAGCAAAGACGTTAGCTTACTGTAGATACCTAGACTGTGCAATTGCACACGTTGCAAATTACAACCCTACTATACTGTTGCCAATGAAAAGCGAGAGGTAGTGGCACTTACGTTGAAGCATGTAGGCATGTGGAATATGTAGAGGTCAACATAATCAAGTTTCAACTTTTTCAAAGATTCACGTATTGCACCTTCAGTGTCGTCCGGATGTAGATGAGTCACCCATAACTAAAAGAAATGTAAGTCAGCAGACAGTGATTGTAAATTACAAATCTTCAGAGCGAAGCAGTAACTGGATAACCCGCAGTAATGCTTTAAAAATACCTGCTCCGATCACGTTTATTTGGGAACACAGAGTGATCCAGGTTCTACAGTTCATTTGTTTGAAATACAACACATTACAATATTCAACTGCGTTTATAAACCCTGAGGAACTCGTTCCATTTTGTTGAGATAATTCAAAACACGAAATGATGTTGGGATTACAAGATTTCAAATCTTATACGTTACGCTATAGACATACTATGCAAAATAGAAGCTGTTTTTCGTATGGAAACAAGGATTTTGGACTCAGCCATTATGAAGATCTCCTTGAAATCTTTTTTTTTTCGCAATCAGACAATTCAATATTGCTAAGTCTGTTCTGTTCATGTCCCTTTTCCCTTCTTTTTTACTTGCCCCACTTTTATGCCCATCTGAAATGCAGACGAAGATATGCGGAAAGAGGGACGAAGGTCGCCTCGTATCAGAAACAGAGATTCTGAAATGTGCTTCTTATCATTCTCATCATTTTAGAAAAAAACGTGCTTTTGTTTGGCAGGGCTTCTGTGAGAATTGCAAAAAAAGCTTCTGTGATCTGCAAAAGTGTGAAAACCTAACGTAGTAGAACTTTTGCAGGCTTTCAACAAAATTGTTCAAGCAAATTTGTGCCTAAACTTTTTGTAAATAATTAAGAAGCCTCAACTATGCTAGTGCCTAGGTGATATTCTTAGATTATTCCATTAATCAATACATTTGTGGCCGAGTTATGCAGTTTCGGCTTTGTCCATTACCGTGCTCAAGGATGCTGGTTGGTCCGTTTAGAAAGAGTACGTACCGGGCAACCATATAGGAAACACTGCGCAGATTTTTGTGAATACTGTGCTTAACAATTCAAATCTTCAACCTGATTTGTCTTACTAGCCTTTGTTGTAATGAAGAGATCTTCACGCTTGATCTTTTTCTCCTTAATCAGTTCCTGGATTGCTTCTCCAATCGCCTCCTCGTTTTCGTATAATGCAGCAGTGTCGATTAGTCTGTATCCGGTGTCTATAGCACACTTTACTGCTCCCTTTACCTCCTCGGGAGAGGACTAAATTTTCGAAACATCCAAAATCGAGCTCAGGTAGAGTAAAAAGCTTACCAGCCACGTGCCCAACCCAACTTGGGGCATTTTAGTGCCATTGGAAAGAGTAATCAGTGGTCCCCCGACGGTCATTTTCACCTGCCTATGTAGGAGCTTTTGTGTGAATTTTAAAAAAATTTCAACAAATTGGAAAAAGCCTCCTTGCAAGCATTAAATTGGCTAGTTACAAAAAACAGCAGAGACAAGTTTTGTAATAATAGTATGCGAAAACAATTCCATAAGAATCATCAAAGAACTAAAGAGTTGTTTGATTGACATCAAAAATTAATTGCAGTTTTACTACTCGCAAAAAAATATTGCTGCTTTTTTCTGTACCAAATGTATGAACACGACAAAAAAAAGCTGAAAGCTAGATCTAGCACAGACTAATGAACTCTCGCAAACTTCACAACCTGCCTTGACTAGTTCTCAAAATTCCGAAGTCATGGGAAATGCGGAGGTTGGAAAACGGTATTCTAATTGCTGACCACCGAACATATTAGGGTGATCCAAAAGTAATGGAGCGCCTGGAGAATAGATGCAGTTTTCTCAAACAGGAAAGCCAGTTGGAAGTCCAAGTTCTGGCAGATGTTAGTATATAACAAAACTTTCTGATCGAGGTCTATAGTTGGGCACTATCAGATGGCGTTATTTTTATGAGCGCTTAAAATTAAAGCTCATCACTTCAAGTAATTTTGAACTTTGAGCAGCAGCGCCGCAATAAAACAAATGAGCCTACAAAAAATATCTGCGCAGCAGTGGGTGAGGGGAATGTCACTAAATCCATAATGGGTCGGTGGTCCAAGGCTATAGAGCAGAAGATATAGAATTGGGTATCAGTCAGGAGACATATTACTTATTCTCTCATCAAGGTAATCAAATAAGCTCATCTTAACAGTTGCTTTCTGATAGAGCTTTTTACGCTCTATCCATACACATGCAAATTACTTCGACTTTTCTCATTTTCAAAAAATCATAGGCCAAAACATGAATTTTAGTCTGAAAATCTGCGCCAAGCACCGCACTTTTTTGAATAAAGTGCCTCTTTTGTATGAAATAATGGGCAATTTTTGTACATTTAAGTAATCTTTAAATGGTACGCCATATATCGAGGGACTCTAAGGTGTAGCAAAAATTCGTATGGAGTTCAAAAAAGTCTATCTGACTTATTCGAAGCGCCGCTCGAAGGAATCTGGATGAGGTGCTAAAGGTGCTGTCGAGATAACCTGCAAAGGTCATAGGTCTTTTATACAAAACCGTTCAAATTGTTGGTTGTTCCTAGTTAATTAGAAAAAAATCTTGAAAAAGGTTTAAAGAAGATGCCCCATTACTTTTGGATCACACTAATAGAATGAAAAAGTGTGAGAGAAAGAAAGCCTATTGCTGCAACATTTTCATTTCGCTCACTCTTTTTTCCTTTCCGCGGCGAAAGCGTCTTCGGGATGTCCTTCCATGCTAAAAAAATCAATCATACTCATGAGCCAAAGAAATTTATATGATTCTACTTTTACAAAAAAGAAGAACTGTGCTGTGCAGAAGAAACAAAAAAACTTTGAATGTATTCTGAGGAAATTTCGAGATGAAATTTCGCTCACAATTCGTGCCAGAAAAGTCTTTGACGATGCGCTCCTGTTTCCATGTCTTTTATTTCATCTGGCTTCAGTGAAAAGTCAAAGACCTATAAAATTCAAACCAACTGCTGTGTCAGCAAGAATGAAAAGCTTGAGCTTACATCAAAGTTCTCCTTGATTCTGGCAATCTTCACTGATTTTGGTATGATTGCAATGTTGCGATCCATAGCGTAGCGCAAGAGAATCTTAAATGATGAAATCATTAAGATTAATCAAAAGGAAAGCACTTAGCTTTTTTGTCGAGACAAACTACCAAGAATTTTCAAAGAAACTGCATTTCTCTTGTTCCCCAAAGACTGCATATACAGCAGATATCTTAGATTTTACCACTTACTTGTTGTTCTGTGACAACAATCCTTTTGACGCAAGCACAAAGGCTGGCAAAGAAAGAAAAATTTAGAGCATCAAGTTTTGCTTGGGGAAGTTTTGCATGATCCAAACACAGCTAATATGGGCAAAACGCTAAGCCGTTGGTTCATTGGCTCCGACATCTCCACCCACGCAGAATTTCTATGATGGTGTGATAAAGTTTTTTGACATTTTGATAATTTTCAAAGCTATTAGCGCAGATATGAATCAGAACGCTAAGGTCCATTAAGAATGAAAAATTCCTAAATGGATGAAGAAATTAGGGTTGAAATTTGGAATGTGAATGAATGACTGATCAATTGATTTGGGGTTTTTAAATTCTGAAAGCTTTCGCAGGATCGCGAGGAAGTTCATCAGTGCTCGCTCCAAATGCACTCACAAGTGTATTTTTTCAAGATTTGAAGTTGTGTTTGTTTATTTTTGACTTTAGATAATGAAATTATATTTGATCTTGTTTGTTACCAGGCTGATGTATTTACCACCTTTTCCAACACCAGAACAATGTGAAATTCGTTCAGTTATACCTTACCTGAGCAGGAGTTTTCTTGTACTTCGCAGCCAATTTCTTCACTTTCTCATCATCCATATCACTTGGTGCTGGAGCCCATTCCATCCTCCTAATCATCATGTTCATTTTCTCTGGCTTCAAAGGTGAAAAGTGCTTACGCTCCGCTTTTGAAAAAAGCCGAACGTCCCGGTGAACCCATGGTTGCATAGGAAGTTACAGCTATGTTGTGCTTCTTACAAACTTCTTGGAATTCGTGTTGAGGCCAGTATAAGTGCAGTTCCACCTAAATTGTACATGGTCACTTCATTTAGCTTTTATTTTATTTCTTTCTGAATATGGAAAGGGTCAAAAAGTTCCCTAGTTATTAGGTTGTCCGGAAATTAATGCAGGTTTTGTATTTCAACAACAATAAGTCATATACTTCTGTTTCTAAACAGGTCGCAAAGTATCATTCGATAGAGCAAAGCAAGCTCTACAAGAAGGCTATCCTGCTTTTACAAGAGCTTTCATCCACCTCGAGTTCCGAGGCAAAAACTAAAAAGATCCAACTGCTTAAGAAATCGAGAAAAATCATAACTCAGTTCAAAAAAAATCCTACAAAAATTCTAACTTGCTCACGTAAACACAATTCACATAAGGTATCTATATACGCCTTCGCCGTATTTTTTCTCTGTTAGAAATCAAGGAAATGGACTTCATGCATTTGCCAAAGTGGTGCTGTGCCGCCCCCACATAAGTAGTTGTATACTACAAACCTGTAGAAGTATAAACATAAATTTTCAGCTTTCTACAAGCTTTGGTTCTCGAGAAATTTGAATTTTAGCTTGGACCACCTGACCAGGGAAAGTTATATTCGATATTTCTCGAGAACCAAAGCTTTTAGAGAGCTGAAAATTTAGTTTGTACTTCTACAGGTTTGTAGTATACAACTACTTAGGTGGGAACGGCACAGCACCACTTTGGCAGAAGTACGAAATTTTCCGTTTTCTTGATTTCTAACGGAGAAAAAAAATAGGGTAACGGCGCACATGGACGTTTTGTTTGGATAGTGTTCGCGTGAGCAAGTTAGAATTTTTGCAGGATTTTTTTGAACTGAGTTACAATTTTTCTCGATTTCTTAAGCAGTTGGTTCTTTCTAGTTTTTGGCTCGGAACTCGAGGTGGATGAAAGCTTTTGTGAAAGCAAGATCGCCTTCTTGTAGAGCTTGCTTTGCTCTATCGAATGGTACTTTGCGACCTGTTTAGAAATGAGAAGTGTATGACTTATTGTTGTTGAAATTCAAAACCTGCATTAATCTCCGGACAATCTAATATTTTTTCAAGCATATGAACTTCTAATGTTGAACAAATTCTATTTTACATACCGCCTAGGTTCGAGAGAAAAGAGATGAGACGATTAATATTTTCTTCAAAGTGAAAATAGACAGGATGACAATGCAAACTTAGCTCGGCGAGATTTTGATGAATTGCGTTGATGGATACGGTAAGTATACGATGGGTAGAATGTACGGTAAGTATACGGTAAGAGGACCATTGACACTTGACAACAAGTAGATTACACCTAATCTCTTTCCGTGTCACGTGACTCCACGAGGAATTATCTGATGGATGCGCTGACACATGGAGAGCGGGAAATCCGCATTTTAGTACTTAATAGGAATGCGGTAGTATACGGTAGGAGATCAATTGTCCTAAATACGAATGGACATCCGTGTTCTCCCCATTACTTGTTCAATCTTTTGGAAATATAGAGTCAGATCGAATAAAAAAAAATCATGTTAGTGCTTGAGTACATATTTGGATGCATTTATTCGTTAATGAGCCTCGTATCAAAGTTTACAGTCTTTAAAAAGAGCCGTTACCTGCGCGACATGGATGGGTACTTCAGCTATTTTCATGATGCGCTCGATCTGCTCTCCGCTGCAGTTAGAAACACCAATGGCCTTAGTCAATTTTTTCTTGTAAACACCCTCAAGGCCTTTCCACACATCGGTGACGGTTACTGAGCGATTCTGTTGCGTCATGTCATGCTGGAAAAATTTTTTTCCATTATTTCGTTGAGATTCTAAGGAGAGGAAACTTTGATCTTGTAATGGTGGTTTTTGCGTGCTAAAGTGGAATTGTAGTAAAGAAGAACTGCTCACTGAAGTGTGCACTTGCACATCATGTGCTCGGAGTTGCAAAATTGACGCCACGGTGCGGACCTGTGCTGCACATGGTGCAGCACGCAGTTCCACCGTGTGCGAATTTGCTATACGATACATATCGAATTGTAAATCACGATGTTTGTTCTTTTATTCGTGATGTAAGAGTTTCCGCTGAGAGAGCAGCAAAGACGTTAGCTTACTGTAGATATCTAGACTGTGCAATTGCACACATTGTAAATTACAACCCTACTATACTGTTGGGGGACGAGTGGCGTAGTGGTATGAGGCGCCGCTATGACCGATCGGACACAGGTTCGATCCCCGCCCCTGGGCCAACCAAGCCCTCTACCCTCCGGGGCTGGTAATTTGGTACCAGAGTAATCTGGGAGGATAAAAGCACTGACTTGGAAACGGCTGGCCCCCGCAAGTCACTGTAATAGGCTCGCACGCATACAATTGCCTCTTCGACTACGAAGTTAGTGTGTGCGTTCGGCGCATGCCCTCAGAGGGTATTGAAGACGCCGAATCCTTTATCCTTTATCCTATACTGTTGCCACGGATGAAAGACGAGAGATAGTAGCACTTACGTTGAAGCATGTAGGCATGTGGAATATGTAGAGATCAACATAGTCAAGTTTCAACTTTTTCAAAGATTCACGTATTGCACTTTCAGTGTCGTCGGGATGGAGATGAGTCACCCATAACTGAAAAAATATATAAGTCAGCAGGTTAGTGGGTGTAAATCATTAGGTTGTCCGGAAATTAATGTCCGCTCTGAATTCCAACCGCAGTCAGTCATAAACTTTTCATTCTTAAGTAGGCTTCAAAGTATCGTTCGATAGAGCAAAGCAAGCTCTACAAGATGGCGATCTCGCTTAAGCAACAGCTCTGATCCGCCTCGAGTTTCGAGCCAAAAACTAAAATGATTCAACTGCCCGAAAAATTGGGAAAAATCATAACTCAATTTATAAGAGACCTAGAAAAATTCAAACTTGCTCACCTAAACACTATCCACATAAAACTTCTATGTACGCCGTTGCCGTATTTTTCCCTTTGTTAGAAATCAAGAAGACGGAAATTCTCATGCTTTTGCCAAAGTGATGCTGTGCCGTCCCCACATAGATAGTTGTATACCACAAGCCTGTAGAAGTACAGACTTAAATTTTCAGCTCTCTACGAGCTTCAGTTCTCGAGAAATTTAAATTTTAGCTTGGACCACCTGACTAATGAAAGCTGTAATCGATATTTCCAGAGAACTAAAGCTTGTAGAGAGCTGAAAATTTAAGTCTGTACTTTTACAGGCTTGTGGTATACAACTATCTGTGTGGGGACGGCACAGCATCACTTTGGCAAAAGCATGAAAATTTCCGTTTTCTTGATTTCTAACAAAGGAAAAAATACGGCAACGGCGTACATAGATGTCTTATGTGGATAGTGTTTACGTGAGCAAGCTAGAATTTTTCTAGGTCTCTTATGAATTGAGTTATGATTTTTCCCGATTTTTCGGGCACTTGAATCGTTTTAGTTTTTGGCTCGAAACTAACTCAGAGCTGTTGTTAAAGCAAGATAGCCTTCTTGTAGAGCTTGCTTTGCTCTATCGAACGGTGCCTTGAAGCCTATTTAATAGTGAAAAGTATATGACTTATTGCGGTTGAAATACAAAACGGACATTAATTTCCGGACAACCTAATACAAATCTTCAGAGCGATTAGCAGTATCTGGATAACCCGCAGTAATGCTTCAAAAATACCTGCTCCGATCACGTTTACTTGGGGACAGAGTAATCCACATTCTACAGTTCATTTGTTTTATATAATACAACAGATTATTTACAATATTCAACTGCGTTTATGAACCCTGAGGAACCCGTTCCATTCTGTTGAGATATTTCGAAACACGAAATGGTGTTGAGATTACATTATTCTAATCTTATCCGTTACGCTATAAACATACCATACAAAATAGTAGATGTTTTTCGTTTGGTAACAAGGGTTTTGGACTCAGCCATCATGAACATCTCCTTAAAAACTATTTTCTTTTCGCAACTCAAATATTTCAATGAGAATAAGTCTATTCTGTCTATTTCACCTTTTCCCTTCCTATTTACTTGCCCCATTTTCTCGAACATGTGAAAGTGCAGGCGAAGATAGAGGGTTGAAGGTCGCATCGTATCAGAAACAGAGATTCTGAAGTGTGCTGACGCTTCTTATCATCTTCATAAAAGTGGTGCTTTTATTTGACAGGGCTTGTGCAAGAACTGCAAAAACAAAGTTTCTGCGATCTGTAATAATCCGAAAACCTAGCATAGAGCTCTTACAAAATTTCAAAAAAAGTTCAAACAAATTTGTACCTAGACTTTTCGTAACTAACTGAGAAGCCTCAACTAAGCTATTGCTTGGGTAACTCCTAGTTAATTACACTAATCAATACATTTATGGCCGAGTTATGTGACTTTGGCCTTGCCCATTACCGTACTCGAGGACGCTGATTGGTTCGTTCAGAAAGAGTATGGTACCGGGTAACCACATAGGAAACCTTGCGCAGATTTTTGTAATTACTGTGCTTAACAATTCAAATCTTCAACCTGATTTGTCTTACTAGCCTTTGTTGTAATGAAGAGATCTTCACGCTTGATCTTTTTCTCCTTAATCAGTTCCTGGATTGCTTCTCCAATCGCCTCCTCGTTTTCGTATAATGCAGCAGTGTCGATTAGTCTGTATCCGGTGTTTATAGCACACTTTACTGCTCCCTTTACCTCCTCGGGAGAGGACTAAATTTTCGAAACATCCAAAATCGAGCTCAGGTAGAGTGAAAAGCTTACCAGCCACGTGCCCAACCCAACTTGGGGCATTTTAGTGCCATTGGAAAGAGTAATCAGTGGTCCCCCGACGGTCATTTTCACCTGCCTATGTAGGAGCTTTTGTGTGAATTTTAAAAAAATTTCAACGAAGAAAAAGCCTCCTTGCAAGCATTAAATTGGCTAGTTACAAAAAACAGCAGAGACAAGTTTCGTAATAATAGTATGCGAAAACAATTCCATAAGAATCATCAAAGAACTAAAGAGTTGTTTGATTGACTAAATCAATTGCAGTTTTATTATACTACTCGCAAAAAAATATTGCTGCTTTTTTCTGTACTAAATGTATGAACACGACAGAAAAAAAGCTGAAAGCTAGATCTAGCACAGACTACTGAACTCTCGCAAACTTCACAACCTGCCTTGACTAGTTCTCAAATTTCAAAATCGTGGAAAAAGCTGAGGTTGGAAAACAATATTATTGCTGACCACCGAACATATTAGGGTGATCCAAAAGTAATGGAGCTCCTGGAGAATAGATGCAGCTTTCTCAAACAGAAAAGCTAATTGGAAGTCCAAGTTCTGGCAGATGTTAGTATACAACAAAACCTTCTGATCGAGGTCTATAGTTGAGCACTGTCACAAGGCGTTATTTTTATACGCGCTTAAAATTAAAGCTCATCACTTCAAGTAATTTTGAACTTTGAGCAGGAGCGCCGCAGTAAAACAAGTGAGCCTACAAAAGATATCTGCGCAGCAGTGGGTGAGGGGACTGTCACCAAATCCATGATGGCTCGGTGGTCCGAAGGCTTTAGAACAGATATAGCATTGGTATCAGAAGACATATTACTTATTCTCTCATCAAGGTAATCAAATAAGCTCAACCTTAACAGTTGCTTTGTGATAGAGCTTTTCACGCTCTGCCCATACATATGCAAATTACTTCGACTTTTCTCATTTTCAAAAAATTGTAGGCCAAAACATGAATTTTAGTCCGAAAATCTGCGTCAAACATCGCATTTTTCTGAATAAAGTGCCTTTTTTGTATGAAATAATGGGCAATTATTGTACATTCAAGTGATCTTTGAATGGTATGCCATATGTCGAGGGACTCTAAGGTACAGCAGAAATTCGGATGGCATACAAAAAAGTCTATCTGACTTCTTCGAAGCGCCGCTCGAAGGAATTTGGATTAGGTGCTGTAAGGGTTGTTCATAGCTAATCAGGAAGAAATCTTGAAAAAGTTCAGAAAATCAAGGTGCCCCATTACTTTTGGATCACGCTAATAGAATGAAAGAGTGTGAGAGAAAGAAAGCCTGTTGCTGCAACATTTTCAGTTCGCTCACTCTTTTTTCCTTTCCGCGGCGAAAGCGTCTTCGGGATGTCCCTCCATGCTAAAAAAAATCAATCATACTCATGAGCCAAAGAAATTTACATAATTTTACTTTTACAAAAAAGAAGAGCTGTGCTGTGCAGAAAAAACAAAAAACTTTACATGTATTCTGAGAAAAGTTCGAAATCAAATTTAGCTCACAATTCATGCCAGAAAAGTCTTTGACGATGCGCTCCTGTTTCCATGTCTTTTATTTCATCCGGCTTCAATGAAAAGTCAAAGACCTAAAAAATTCGGAACCAACTGCTCTGTGTCAGTAAATGAAAAGCTTTGGCTTACATTAAAGTTCTCCTTGATTCTGGCATTCTTTACTGACTTTGGTATGATTGCAATGTTGCGATCCATAGCGTAACGCAAGAGAATCTTCAATCGTGAAATTATTGAGATTAATCAAACGAAAAACACCTAGCTTTTTTTATTGAGACAAACTACCAAGAATTTTCAAAAAAAGTTCAAAAATTGCATCTTCGTTGTTCCCTAAAGGCTTTGTGCGTATAGTGCAGATTTCTCAATTTTTCACCACTTGTTTTGTGACAAAATTTCTTTTGAAGCAAGCACACAGGAAAAGAAAGAAAACGTAAAGCACCAAGTTTCACTTGGGAAGATTTCGCATTTAGCCAATCTCAATATTTGCGAAAACGCTAAGCGGCGATTGGTTCATTGGCTCCAACATCTCGGCCCATGCAGAATTTCTATAATGGTGTGGTAAAAATTTCTAACTGATGGATTTGCCCATCAAACGTGGCAAAAATTCCTAAACCGAAACCGACGATCTCCTTACCATTCTGCATCTAATTTAAGAATAATTGGAGTTTAGGAGTTATGTGATAAAATAATGGATTGAAAAATTAGAGATGTTTGCAATTTTTGACTGGTTGACTGATCTGAGATTTTATATTTTAAAAACTTTTGCAGGACATTGAAGAAATTCATCAGTGCTCGCTGAGAATGCACCAAATTTATTTTCTTAAATTTAAAAAGATTGCTTGTTTATTTTTAACTTTAGATACTGAAATTCTATTTGATTTGTTTGTTATCGAGCTGTTGTGTGTACCGTATTTTCTTATATCAAAGTGTTGTCAATATTGACCCGGTAGTTATACCTACCTGAGCAGGAGTTTTCTTATACTTTGCAGCCAATTTCTTCACTTTTTCATCATCCATGTCTTTTGGCGCTGGAGCCCATTCCAGTTTTCTAAACATGTCGCTTCTATTGCCTTGACAGCAAAGATGTTAGTGTGCTTACGCGCCGCTTTTGAGAGAAAAAGCCGAACGTCCTGGTGATCCCATAGTAGCGTAAGATGTTATAGCTATTTTGTGTTTCTTGCAAATTTCTTGAAATTCGTGTTGAGGCCAGTACAGGTGCAGCTCCACCTGAACAGCCAATGATTACACGAAAAGTCGAAAAGCTCATCAGTGAGCTTTTTAGGAGCATATGAACTTCAAGCATTTTCGTGAAAAAGTAATCCATTTTACCGCCCCGATTACATAAGAAAAGGTGGGAGTCTATTTGTTGGATTAGTAGATCTTCAGACGGAATGAGGATTTACACTTAGATCGGCGAGAATTCTAGTAGACTGCGCTGATAGATACGGTAAACATATAACGGCTATAGGATCCGTATACTGTAGAAGGTTCGATTGCTGCATGGCAACGTTAATTACATCTATCTTTTTCCGTCAAATCTTTTACTGGACTGCGTTGATATATAGGAATAGGGAAATTTGGGTAGTGGCTATATAATAGAGAGGATTACGGTAATTATACGGCAGGAAATAAATGCACCATTATAGCAAAAATCACACTCATTTTCTTTGCATTATTTGGTTTCATGAAAATGAAAGAGGCAATTCGATTAAATAAATGAATGTGTATTAGTGTTAAAGTACATATTGGGACGCATTTATTCTTTAATAAGCCTCGTACAAAATTTCACAATTTTTTGCAAAGAACCTTTACCTGCGCAACATGGATGGGTACTTCAGCTACTTTCATGATGCGCTCGATCTGCTCTCCGCTGCAGTTAGAAACACCAATGGCTTTAGTCAATTTTTTCTTGTAAACACCCTCGAGGCCTTTCCACACATCGGTCACGGTTACTGAGCGATTCTGTTGCGTCATGTCATGCTGAAAATTTTGATCAATTGTTCGCTATCCATCGCTATTCTACAATTATTTTTCCTCCAGTGTTGGTACTTTTATAAGCAAAGCTGGTGTTGTCTATCGCTAAATGAAACGAAATTTACTTACGTTGAAGCAGGTAGGCATGTGGAATATGTAGAGATCAACATAGTCGAGTTTCAATTTTTTCAAAGATTCACGGATTGCACTCTCGGTGTCGTCTGGATGTAGGTGAGTTACCCATAGCTAGAAATCAAAAAGTTTGAAGGCAGTGTCTCACCAAAATTTAGTTGCCGAGATTTTTGCATTTTGCAAGCCTGTCGGACCCTGTCTAGCACTGTATGGGCTTGAAATCGCACGAAGTTCCCAAAAACCCCGCTTTCTGGAGGCCCCGCGGGGCAACGTGACGAGTTGTACCTTCCAACTTCAGCCTCAGCCACAGTGGCAGCAACAGAGGGGATGTGGATGCCAAGTGGAGGGACATGTTCAAACGCGTAAAGGGGGAGACCGACAGAGTCGTCCGCGCGTACCAACTCGCTCTCCGCGTACCATTTTGAGCGAATTTTTCTCAACGTGGAGGGGGTCAAATTGAGTGGGACTTATTGCAATGGCCTATTCAGAGGCCTATAGTAGAATATGTGGAGATCCCGCAACCTCAATTTTGGTGAGACACTGCCTTTAAAGTGTAAATAGAAAATTTGCAAGAATAGAAGCAGACAATGGGAAAAGCATTTTTTAAGATTTGGATTGACTGCGTATGATTTCTTCTGGAAATTATATGGCTGATTCGCTGACCGCACGGACTGGACATCACTGCGGAGCACGCGCCGCGAGGCAAACGCTTGCTCCAGCAAATCGCCATTGTACAAATCGTGCTCTCGCAGTACTTCAGCCTCGCCGCGCGTGGAACGCAATGTTTAAGCAGTCCCTGCGGTCAACGAATCAACGATATGTGTAATCAGTGGAGGCAAATTTAAATGCCGGACTGTGCGCAACTAAGGGATTCTCATCAGAATCTACAGTACCCTATTTTCAGGTGTATAAGCCGCGGGGTGGTCCTAGCTTACATCGACCAGCCCGAACACATCAAAGAACCTCGCAACCAAAGGTCCCTATACCGTGCTGCGTATTGCCTAAATTAATCGTGCGGCATAAAGATCGCTTCTCAAAACACAATGAAGCGGTTGAGCAGCCCGGGCGAAAATTTGAAAAAGTGCGGCTTATACACCTGAAAATAGGGTATTCACTCACAGCTATGTACGACTTAAAAACTATGGTTCATTTTCAATATAGTGATGACAAATTTACTGCGGTCTTTGTGCACACAGGGGCATAAAACACCCATACAACCAGGCATCACCTCAACGTCCAGCGCAATCACTTCCAGTGGTCAAATACTATCACACGTAAGCAGAAAAAGCATTCGAGCAGGAATAGAAACCAAGAAATGGAAGTGCGTGCGTGTCGCGCGCGGTCGCTCCATGGTCATGATTTTTCGAACACTTTACATATACTCGAATAAATTTAGCAATAAAACTCCTTCGACCACAAATGCATGCACAAAACGAAACAACAATTTTCGGAAGAATCAATTGTTTAGCGCTTTTTCATCTGGTGTTGTTCACTTTTCTGGTAAGAAATCCTTTGATTTCGAATAAGCAGAAAGCATAGGTTGACCAAATATGGGTTCTCCTAGCTATTCAAAAATCAAAAAATGGCGAGTTTCTTTGTTAATACCACTATTTTTTCTTTTACATTACCCTTCTTTTACTGTACTCCTGAAATTGACAAGGAACGCGAAAATACGCGGAGAACGCGAGAGGGACGAAGGTCGCATTATCACAAACAGAGATTCTGGAGTATGTTGACATTTCTTATCATTTTCGAGAAAAAAGTGATGCTTTTGTTTGGCAAGAATTCTGCAAAAATTGCAAAAACCTTCTGCAATTTGCAAAAATCTTAAAAACCTTGTGTATTGTTGAGCTTTTGCAAAATTGAAAACAATGTTTGAGCAAATTTGTACCTAGACTTATTGTGACTGACGAAGAGCTCAGCTAAGCCATTGCTTAAGCGATAGCTCCTGTAATGCATTTGTGATCGAAATATGTGATGTTGACTTTGCTTAATGTTCGCTTTTCGTACTCGAGGACGCTGATTGGTCCGTTTGAAAAGAATACGGTACACCGGGCAAGAGTTCAGAGCTCAACTTCTCCGCTGAGCTGCTTTTTGATAATAACTTTGCGAAAGTTCCCTTTTTCTTTTCCTTTTCTCAGGCAATTTCCGTTTAGGGGAACCTTGCGAAGATTTTCCTGAACACTGTCTCAACAATCTTTAACACGATTTGCCTTACTAGCCTTTGTTGTGATGAAGAGATCTTCACGCTTGATCTTTTTCTCCTTGATCAGTTCCTGAATTGCTTCTCCAATGGCTTCCTCGTTTTCGTATATTGCAGCTGTGTCGATCAGTCTGTATCCGGTATTGATAGCATACTTCACTGCTCCCTTTACCTCCTCGGGAGAGGACTGAATTTCTTTGAACATTCAAAATCGACTGCAAATTAAGAAGAAATCTTACCTGCCAAGTGCCCAATCCAACTTGGGGCATTTTAGTGCCGTTAGAAAGAGTAATCAGTGGTCCTCCGACGGTCATTTTCACCTGGCTATGTGCGAGTTTTTGAGTGAATTTTGAAAGCTTCAACAAGTTTGAGAAAAGCTTCCTTGCAAGCATAAAGTTGGGTAGTTACAATATACAACGGAGACGAATTTTACAATAATAATATGCGAAAACAATTTAATAAGCAATCATTAAAGGCTAGAAGAGGTTGTTTGAGTGACAATAAAGATAAACTACGGTTTCAATCTTCGCAAACAATAACACCGCTCTTTTTGTTCCAAAAAAGTAAACATAGCAATTCTTTTTAGTGTTGCAATGATTCTGAATCGTAAGCACATGCAATCTCCCTATGCATTCTTTCTTATTGTTAGACTTCCTGAATAATGTTCCATGCTTAGCATTCAATAAATGTATTGATTAAATACTTCAATAATTTAGCCAACATCAAGATTATTATAGCATTTATTTGGCTAACTATTCGGCATATTCGCCTTAATCAGACTCTATTAAGAGAGGAACATTACACATTAACTTCCAAACAAGCGAGCGAGGAAACTCAACCGAAAGTTTGATAATACGAGAAGATTTGAAGTTACCAGTTGACTATTTTCTATCGTTTTTTGCAAATTTTGAGATTTAGGGATGGGAGTTGGCAAAGCAGGAATAGAGCACATATCAATCACGAAACATAGTGGAAACAGGGAAAGGGCATATGAAACTGAGACAAGGAAGTGTGCAGAAATGGGAAATGGCAGTTCTCATCATAATGTACTGAGAGGGCCGTGCGGAGCCGGGCGTGCCGCTAGTTGCTTTATTTTTAGGGGCAGAAGTAGTGCATTCGGACATATGCTGCCAAAGGTGAGCTATTCGCCAATTCAAGTGAAAGTTTCTTTGAAAGGAAGCTATTTATACAAATCTGTCTTGGCAGCTTCTGGGCTTTATCCTGAGGTTGGCTATAAATAAGTTCGGTCATTTTTGCGGGTCCTACTAATGTTGCAGTCAAACTTTAGTCTGATATTTGGGCACAATGAAAACTGGAATATGAAGTGTTCGAGTAGGATTTATTTTGCAATAAAGGAAAGGGAAAAAACTGAGATGCCATGTATTTTTATTGTTCGCAAATCTGAGAAAGTTTCCTTTTTCAATAATAGAACTTTAGAACGGCAGATCAAAGGTTTTTGTTCATTCGCTTAGATAGAGAACTTGTAGGTATCACCAACCGAGTGCCAATTCATCTCTATATCCATCACAGCATGAAAAACCAAAACTGAAAAGTCAAAGGCCCGATTTTTTGGAAAATTAGGTCGTTCCAAAAGTAATGTCGCTTTTTTCGAATGAACGCCACTATTCGTGGAATCAACATTTTCGAGAGATCTAAGGAGCATTCGATGAAGCATTTCATCCTCTTGCTAACGGTTGTAATTTCACTGCATAATGTAAAATGAACTCTTGAAAAATTAACGAAATCTGCGACTCATGGTTTTTGCCATGGTCAAGTTCGGCTATTTTTCTAAATTTTTGTATTCAATCTCCGAAAAAGTACAAGTGGCAGGTAGGTAGAGCAAACACTATAGAACACAAAGTAATTTTTTCTTTTCCTTAGCTTGCTTCTCAGATTTTCTACAATCATTTTCTCAATACCATCAAATTGAATATTTAGTCAAGTCAAACCTCACAGAACAATAACCGGCAAGCGACTCGGGTGTCATTCGATGCAGCTTTTTCTCCTCTTTCTAGCGGTCGTTTTTTCTTTCCGAATCATCAAGTTTTCCGGGATAAAATCATCATAATTTAACTTTTCCAAGGCACCCAATGTGTACCCGAAATTTTCGAAAGTTGCTAAACCGAAGCGGTGAATGCCCCTTTGGTTTGTAAAATTGTTGCCAAATCATAATCCATCTTTATAACTTCCAGAATCCGGAGACTTGTTGGCGTTTGAAGCACTTGTGTCTGAGACAAGCCTGCAAAAATTCGGTGCTTTCATCAAAAAATCTGTACAAAAATTATAGCTCTGGAAAGAAGAAATTAGAGCTCTGGAAAGTAGAAAAAAGTTGTGCTATTTCCTGTAGGGTTTGCTCCATCTATCCATTAGTTGGACTCCTTCTGAGGTTTGTTATAAAATTTCAGAAAAATTGTGAAACATGGCCATCTCAAACAGCATAGATCGCAGATTTTGACTCTTTTCTGGAAGCGCATTGAATGTATTGCAACAACTTCACATCCATTAAAAAGACAATGAAATGCTGCATCAAATGCTACCAGAATCTCTTATACATCTTTGTTCCACGGGATGTAGCATACGTTTGAAAAAAGCGACATTACTTTCGGAACGACCTAATATAATCATACTGGACATAACTGTCCTTCCACAGTTATTAAGATTACTAGGCAGTAAACATATAATAGTAGGAGCTTCACACTATTTATGAAAAAACGACCGCTAGAAAGAGGAGAAAAAGCTGCATCGAATGACACCCGAGTCGCTTGCCGGTTATTGTTCTGTGAGGTTTGACTTGACTAAATATTCAATTTGATGGTATTGACTTTTAGCTTATCCTGCACAAAAGTACAATTAAGATTCTTTCATAACCGTTCTTAATGTGCAGTACTGCAAGTATCACCATTCAAGTAAGAACCAATCACAGGCCAAGAATTGTGTGATTTAGTAGAACTAGCATTTGTTAGCTATATTATGTACACCTGTACCAGAAAAGTAGCTTTTTTTAGTGTTACCTTTGGTTTGATTTACGCTATTCTTGTTTAGGTTCCAAAACACTACTTTGATAGGTCCTTAGCATCATTGTAATCTTGTTTTAATGAATAATATGTTTTGCGCTAGTCTGTTTTCAACTGTTATGCAATCGCATACCTTTTGGCCAGGTACACTGTACTATTTTACCTTTCAATAATTACTGCGCCTAATTACAACGCTTCCTTATCACCTCTTTAATTTCTGCTCTTATGCTCATACTAGGCGTCCGACCCACCCAATTCTACTCCTCAGTGCTTCGGAGACTACCACGTCGATATCATCATTGTTGCTGCTCGTTTCCTTGTACAGAAGCATAAAGCCCTCACCCATATCTATTGCGTCTTTGCTTTGTATTTGGTTTTCTTGAATACAGGTTGACGTCCATTGTGCGTCCCTTGAGTAGGAATGGCACGTTGACGTAGAGCTCTGACCCCTCTTTCGATATCGAGCTCTGACCTACTAATCGCTAAGCGACAAATCAATCGCTCTATTCGCACTCGTCGGGTTCAAACCTGTGTCATTTCGGAAAAACCTAGCACACTCGAAGGTTCTGAAAGAGCATTCTACCTCGACGCAGTATCTTCTTCGGCCAATTTGTCACTTGCTTTTCTTTGGTATCTTTAGGTACGTAAGCAGAGCTTAAATGATCGGATCCGCCAACAGACAAACCCGCAACCTTTACTGCCATAGCCAACTGCACTGATCCTTGGCCTACTGCATACCACCTGAATGATTGACATACTGAACTGCGCAGTTCTTATTGGTAATGTCACGTTCACTCTAGTTGATGCCATAGGTGCGACAGTGTGAGAATTTGCTCACCCCCCTCTTCACTCCTGAACCCTGACCAAGGTGACCTTCTTCACCAAAAGGCGAGAAAAAAAATCAACAGTGAGATAAAGTTAAGCAAAGGAAGTATTTGTACGGAAATTGTTTGTGTATCGGAAAGGAGGAAGAAGATTTATAGTCATTTACGAACTTCCGAGAGGAAAAAAATAGTAGCTTCTGTAGCAGCACAGCAACGTCAGCGAGGAAATCCGTGGTACAACGTTCCCTTCTGGTTTCAGGGATAAATAGTTTGACTAGAGATCTGTTCATAAAAGTAGCTGGTGAAAAGTATGCCTAGTGATTTCTAGACACTTACGAGTTTTCGACATAAAAAAATTCATAACTTATGAAAATGAACATCTTGTACGCCGAGATAGTCACCATCAGAACCGTCCCGTCCTCCGCTTTCAGAAAGTATATACCTTGCCTGGGGTCCTTCAAAAAATTGCGGGGTGAATGGTGAATGAGACTTTTATAATGGGAGTGCTCATGGGGAGGGTTTTTTACCATTGTGAAATGACGTCTACTTGAGCACTCCCATTATAAAAGTTTCACCCATTCCCCAGTGGCGTACCCAGGATTTCGCCCGGGGGGGGGGAGGGGGAGCGACAAAATTTTTTTTCCGATGAAGGTGCGTGGCGCCAGCCACGCACTAGGAATTTTTTGGTGTGCTCATAAAGTTTTCGCAGGCTCAGAACCCCGAAATTTCAGAAAAAGGGGGCAGTTATGAATTTTTTTATGCTAAAAACTCGAAAGTCTTCAAAAATTACTAGGCATACCCTTGATCTCAGACATGCTATATATTTACTGAAAGCGAAGGATAAGATGGTTCCAATGTTGACCATCTCGGCGTACAAGATGTCCGTCTACAAAAGTTATGAATTTTTTATGTTAAAAACTCGAAAATAAAAAATCACTAGGCAAACTTTTCACCAGGCACTTTTTTAACAGACTCCAGGCAAATTTCCCTAAAACAGAGAATAAAATCATCTTGAAAACATTTCAGGATGAAGAGCATAACACTTTTGTAATATAATTTTTGCTCACCAAAGATACAACACATCAACCATAGGTGCGATAAGGTGAGAATGACCCCTCCAGGGTGAAGGGGGTCCGGTCCCAGCGCATCCGGGTGAAGGGTGTTTCATTGTGGAAAAATTATAAAATGACCGGCGGGGGGGAGAGCCATGGTGTTCTCTCATCATTTTTCCTAGTCAAAGTTCATAATTTCCGATTCCCTACTATTATTGTTTGCCTTTTATCTGAAATGTGAACCGATGTGCTGCTGGATTAGCACACAATCATGTTTCTGAGCACTTATATTTTTTTACATTTTTCCTTTTCCCTTTTTACGTCAACCTGCCTGTTTTTGAAATTACCATAGAAGATGTGCATGCGAAAACTTTTGTTTCGGAAAGACTTAAACAATTTTTGAGCATCTGCGAATTTTCTAGAAAATATTCGTAAT